TAATTAAATTTACTTTTATGAATTAAAAAAAATGCCACATAAATTATTGTGAGGTGATATGTTTTTAATATAAAGTAATTAATGTGAAAATGATGTGTTTATATTTTGTATTTTTCAAACTTGTTGATCTTTGAGTTAGTTAAATGGAATGTTAATAAATTTATTAATTATAATTCAACGTTAATTATTTATTTAATGTAAATTAAACTCTTAAAACTCGTTAGCTGAAAAAAAATGATTCAAACAGACATAAATTGACTATATTTTATTTTTGGCTCTTCATCTTCACTAATGATACTCGAGTACACCTACTAATCCTATTTCTTACAAGCTATTGAAAAGATTTGATTTTTTTCCCACTCTTTTCAATACAAAGTAATTAATGTGAGATAATGTGTTTATATTTCACATTAATTAATTAAATGGAACAAACAGAATATTATTAAATTTATTAATTAAAACTCAATGTTAATTATTTATTTAATATAAAATATAATCTTACATGACACCTCTTAAAACTTGTAATCAGATAAAAACAAATCAAACCAACGGAACTGGATTATGCATCATTTTTTACTCTTTATCTTCACCAATGGTACTTGAGTACACATACTAACCCTATTTCTTATAGGCAATTGAAAAATATTTGATCTTTTTCTTTCACTCTTTTTAATATAAAGCAATTATTGTGAGATTGTATTTATATTTTATGCTTTTCAAACAGAACGTTAAGAAATTTATTAATTAATAACTCAATATTAAAATTCGAAATCACTTCCTAAAAATTTTGCGAGCTATGATGTTGTCAATTTGTCTTCCTTTATTAATAGTAGTGAGAATAGGGAGCTTTATTATTTACAAGTTCAAGTTAGACAAATATTAGTATGAAAAATATAATTTAGCTTGAGGCGTCTGAATATACTATTTTAGACTCCCTTTGTTTCATTTTATGTGTTACTTTTTGAATTTTGAGATTCAAACAAATCTATCTTTGATCGTAAGTTTTTCATAGATCTTTTAAATATTTTGAATATACTATCTTTATATAATAAATAAGTAAATTTGATATATGACTCGAAATTTAATAAGTACTTTTAGTTATAAAGTGTAAAAATTTATATCTTGTTCTCCCACAATATTGCGTATATATAAGCTAATTTTCAAACGGGTGATTAGAATAATTGACCCATTTTACCTTGCAGCTCTTTCTGACCAACAAGGGATTCTCTCTTTTGAGGTAATTTTTCCCCACAGAAGTTTAGTATCAATATTAGTTAATATTCGCTCTGTCCACTTTTAATTGTCATGTTGAGTTTTTCGAAAGTTAATTTGATTAATTTTCAATGTCAAATTAGATTACATTAATTTGATATTTTTAACAAAAAAATTAGATATTCAAAAACTATACGAAAAGTACTATAAATTCTAATTTTTTACATATCAATATAATAAACAAATACATAGTAAAATATTAGTCAAAGTTATTATCATTTGACTCTAAAGAGGAAAACTATGACAATTATAAGTGGACGGTAGTATTAACTTTTCGGTGTAAAAAGTATTAAGTATTTCAATTGAAATAAAGTAGTAACTAGCCCTTTTCCAATATAATTCTTCAATCTCTTCTAATCAATCATAAATTATTTTTTACAAAAAAATAAACTTATATATCAAGTTTTACATTTTTAAAAAATGAAATCACAATTCAGAATCTCAAATGTTTTTTTTTTTTTTGGAGAATTTGAGATTTAAAAAATCATGATCTCACTCACTTGTTCACATATTGACATGAAATTGTAATTCCAAATCACGAAAAATTTTACTATGGGTGAGGCCCAACCAACCAAAGTTGGAAGAGGCTCCATCCATTTTTTGACATGTGGATCGTGGGGCCCAAACTATTAGTTAAAGCTAAAAAATGAAACCAAAAGGAGAGAGAATGTAAAGTTTGAGTGGGAATTGCAAGATAATTGTGGGGTCCATGTCAATTTTAATTAAATAAATTAAAATATTCTTGGTTTGGTTATCGGTTTGATGTATTTACAAACCAAAAACCGATAAATCGAACCAATAACACCTAAAACCGAACCGAACCGAACCGACCAATGTGCACCCCTAATTGAAAGTGGAAAAGTGCAAGGGAATAAAAAGTCATATTATTAGTTGATCAATATTTTTATTTTCTATTTTATATCCACATTTATTTAACGTGTTGAATTGAATATCTATTAAAAATATTATTCTTATATTGAAATTTGTTTACACTCTATTTTCTTTAAACTCGCGTTACTTTTAAAAATAGTTCTATATTACAAGATAAGATAAGATTTGTGTATTTTTTATTGTCTTCAAACTAATTTACTATTAACGTCAAATACCAAATTGAAGACATGCATAATTCTAATCACCTATTAAATAAACCCTTTAATGCTACTAAAGCAATGGGGTGAAGAAATGGAGGACAATATGAAAAAAGAGCGGAAAAAAAGAAAGTGATATCGTTTGTTTTGAAAACTCGAAAATCTCATTAAATGATTGTTGGTTAATTTTATTATGTTGTGTTTCATTTACACAAAATATAAATTATTTCATTAGTTAAATTATTTATCGTAGTGACTAGTGAGAATGTACATTATGTTAGCATTTATTAATTGAGAAAAGGTTCTATACAAACTTGTGGTCCCTCCGTCTCATATTATTAAGAAAAAAAATTCGGAATTATTATTTATTTTAGATAATTAAAATAGAGTGTATTAAGAAGAGTTACAAGGCAATTAAGAATTGGGTGGTTAAAATTGAAAATCTCAAAAAATAAATTAATGACTAAAATTTAAATAATTAAAATTAAATTGTGAATTTTGTAATAAATAATACCGAATGAATTTTAGTAGCTCAATTGGTTGATTATATGAATTTTTACATTTTTGTGAGAGTTCAATTTATTTATTTTAGTTCCACAATTATCTTGCAATTCCCACTCAAACTTTACATTCTCTCTCCTTTTGTTTCATTTTTTAGCCTTAACTAATAGATTGGGCCCCACGATCCACATGTCAAAAAATGGGTGGAGCCTCTTCCAACTTTGGTTGGTTGGGCCTCACCCATAGTAAAAATTTTCCCAAATCACATATCAATTCTTTTCAACTTCATCAATACAAATATTGTCCAAAAGAGATGAAATCACACAAAAAGCTAAGTCCAGAGAAATGATGCACTTTTAAGGAATGAAACAAACATCTTTCATCTTTATGGTACTATTTGCTTTATCCTACACAAGGTTCCTCCAGTATTTTTTTCAGTCCTAAACATGGTCCCTCCAGCTTTAATTAATTACATTTGTACTCATTACTTTAGTTGGATAAAAGAAAAGGAAACAAGAATCCTTTATGCACTGTATTTCACAACCCACCCCAAATAGTAGTCTTATTTTGCTTGTAACTGAAACTTATTCAGAGAGTCTACTTAATGCCTGCAATGTCGTCAATGAGCAGCAACATGCTATTAAGATTATTTGATAGTTAATACTCCTATGACCTATCTCATAATATTGTATAATTGATTATTATTTTTTTGCAAAGTGTAACGTAATTAGCTAGCATTTGATCTTTAACCCTAAAACTAATTATACAAGTGATACGTTTTGTTAAACTTAACTGTGGATCCCACAAAATTGTCACATGGCAAACCCTTCTCCCTCAATCTTCTTTCTTGTGCTGCAATTTTCAATTGATTTATTCTCTCTCCATTACTTCCTCCTCCTTTTTTTAAACCAAATTTTACCAGAAAAAAAAAAAACTGACACACAAAAATCTCTTCAAATCTCAAAGAAAATTTTAAGATTCTATTTTCCACCTTTATCCATTCCGTTTTCACCCTTTAATGTCAACAACGGAATAAAAAAATAATACATAAAAAAGTTATTAATCTTAAAAATGACAAAATAAGAAAAAGCTATATTCTTCTCATAGATCCCTTCAACAAGAGAGAATAGTTGTTTAAAACTTGAAAATAGTTTACTTATGGAGATCTCATAAAAGAGAAATGGAGTGTTTTATCTAATTTACTTAGTTCATACTATTTATTTTAATGGATCGCTTTTTTTGTCTGTCTAAAAATGGGAGTTGCTGGGAATTATTATTTCAAAGGGGAACTAACAAATGAGTGTAGTGTATATATATATATATATTACAAGAATATGATAAGTGGGTGAACTGAAAATGGAGCATCACCTCTAATGGTGTTGAAAGAAGGAAGACCAAAATAGTCATCTGTTAAGTTTAACATAAATTTTCACTTCTATGATTAGTTTTAGGTTAAGGACCAAAATAGGCATCTTTTTCTATACATCAAGGACTATTTCAATAAGATGATGATATATATAAAGGATCAAAAATCTCCAACCCTCATATATCAAGGACCATTTTGGTCGTTTTATCTGAAAAAGTTTGCCAAATAATGACAAATTATATGAACAAACACTATTTGTCAAATTCTCCTTGAGAAATCTATGGCGAAATGGTCCTTAGAAGTTAAAACTATGTTATATCTTCATGAAGATTCCCACTGGAAGGTTTACTGATTCTAGGAGAAGAAAATTAACAGAACATACAGGCCCAGTCTGCAATAAGCCCAAATTGGTTAATGGGTAAATTCTCTTTTTTCAGGAACATGATCAACCGAAAATTATTATGTTCGCAATAAAATGCTCCAATTTTCCATTGACTTCGGAAAAAAAATCACTTTTCGTATTATAACAGGATTGGTTCGCTCATGCAGTAAGTACAACAACAACAACAACAACATACCCAGTGAAATCCCACTAGGTGGGGTCTAGGAAGGGTAGAGTGTACGCAGACCTTACCACTACCTCATGCAGTAAGTAATACTTAAAATTTGCAAGTAAACAAAAAAATTAGGTCCCCACGATGCTTTGTTTTACAAGATGTTAATTATAGCACGCAGATTCACAAATTTACAAGATGTTAAATATAAAATGCAGGTTCACAAATTTAAGATGATGTAATTCACTAACTGTACCTTCCGCAGGAAATGTTACATAAGGATCAAAAGAAACCACAAATCTGGCACACAAAGACCAAACACTTTGATTGAGATACATTACCAGCCAGAGCGTGGACAGAATCCATTTTATCACCCGAAGAATTCCACTAGTCATTTCGAGTCGGAGTTACAAAAATTAAGGCTAATACAAGTAGATGTTTGGAATGTCTTACAGCCTCGGTGTCGTCTATGATAAATGCTAATTCTATCAGAAAAATGTATGGTGCTAGCAATCTTTCCACCTTCGTTGACAATTTAGTAAATTTAAGCAGCACACAGCATCCCATCAGTAGCACAGTTCCAATGCCATGACCATGAATTGAAATGCAAACTGCCAAATATTAATCTTCATGCTAACTCAGTTCTGCTGGAACGATCTAATCTGCATCAAATCTGATCTTCTTTGGTGCAGCCTGAATTGAACCCACCTGCAAATGACATGCACCATATGTTATCTCCTGATGGAGTGCGACGTAATTTCAGCTTTAACTAAAAACTCTTTCATTGTGTGCTCAGTGCAACTCATTTGTCACTTCCCTAATCCTAGTTATTTCTAATATTTAGGAAGTAATTAGCATTCTTGTAACAAATATACTCAAACACTACTCAACTATTGTTCAACAGTATCACACTAGCCAAAACGCAACAATCCTGTTATTAGCATCATCTAGAGCAAATTATAGTTAATTAACAGTTAGATTCACTAAATAGAAGGGTTTCCATACTCCAACCAGTAACCTGCAGCGATAAGGGTGTATTTGCAGCATCAAAGAGTTGAATTAAAGAAAGCCATATATGTCTTACCATTTCTGGGCACTCATAGTCAATTCCAGCTGCTTCAATCCTCTTTCGCCTCTTCTTGTCACGTTTTAATATTCCTTCAACCAACTTCTTGTGATCATCCAGTGTTCTTTCCTGGACGATTATTAACACTCAACAAGTTTATGTTTGCAAAGTCCAATCAGACGTCATAATACTAAACTGCTTACCACATTTAGCATAACACACAAAGCAAAAATGTTATATCCCACTGAATATTACCTTGTCCTGACGTTTCCTTTCAATTTTAACCCAATCCAAGGGTTTGTACCAGCGGTTCACACCTTTCCACCTATGTAGAAATCAAAGTTGTTAACTACCAACAGATAAAGACCCAATTTTGCATCTCCATGCTAAGAAAGTATCATAAACCTACCACTAAATTTCAACTCTTCACACTCCTTGTAAAGTTAAAAAATAATCAGGAGAATGCCGTGCTTCTAGACATATCTTTTGCTCCCTTACAATGAGATTAGGTGGTCGCCAATCATTGGATCACAAAACCAGAAAACTTGTGCAGCTCAAATGCAACGCCGAACTCATTTTATAACTCATAATGTAGGGGAAAGATTAAGAATAATATCAGACTTCATGTTTTCTGTCATTAGCATTTAGCAGCATGAAATTTATAAAACAGAGATCCCGATATATAAGCAGGAGCAAATTTGCAGGTCAATATATTCTTTAAAGTTTAATCCAGTCAAAAAAAAAAAAAAGATCTGGTATTTTATTAGTTGTTGTTCCAATTTGTAGTGACGAAAGACTACAAAGTGCCGATAAACCTCCTACAACAAGAAGCTCCCAGACCACTGAACCCCCTAAAAACAACCTAACCATAAACATAAGAAAAAGAAAAAGATGGAAGAAACCAAAGAAATTTGACAATCTCCTCACACTTGGACATAAAATAATTAAATTACCATTCCCTCCATCAAATTGGAAAAAGGAGAGGGAGGGGGGTCCTTACAAACTTGGATGTACATGTTCAGGACGAATAAGCTGAACTTGAAGTAAGTGCTCAAACAAGAGATAGTTATGCATAGTTTCCGCAACAACTTTTGTAACCTGCACTTACCCAAAAAGACAACCAGAAAATGGGAAGATAATGATCAGACGGATTTTTTTAAGCATATCTATGACACTACAAAGCCACTAGGACAAGTACTACCTCAGGAGACTCAAATTCTATGAAGCCAAAATGCTTTGATTTTCCTGTCTGTTGAGGAAGAGAAACCAGGATAAGTCAATGAACAAAAAGAAAATTACCTTAAATGAAAATAATGGTAAATCAGTGGATTAACATATGATGTGTAGCTTAAAGGAGTGCAGTGCATGCCCATAATGAAAGAACAATAAATTTGTCAATGGACTAAGAAATGAATTGAGTAGTTTGAAAAATGAAAATGAAGTGAATGCCAATGAATCGCCATACTCCTCTACATAATTATGGCCTACAATTTCATTTCTTTTCTAGATGAAAAATACTTCATAAAGTTAAAAAATAGGTGCTATAATCAAGGTATTTCCTTTATCCAAAGGTAAAAAAAAGGTATTTTCAGGCAGATGTTAGCTGATCAGACTTCTATTGTTTCTTAAAGATGAAATATCTATCACTACACTCATGAATGAGATACTAAGATAAGGTGTACAGAGAGCATAGGGTGGAACAGGGAATTGGTAGCTGAGGAAATAGAAGGAAGAATAAAAAGTAGCTGGATGTCCAGCACGATTGTGTTAAGGGTTCCATGAGAAAGTCTATTACCCAGATTGAGAGAAAGACGATTGCACTGTGGATTAGGACGGGGTGGAGAGATCCTTACTGTCCTTACGGCGGATTTGAAGTGTTAAGAGTTGTTCTGTCAGGGTTAAGAAGCATCTAGTTTACTGATTTTTTTTCTAGTAAGAAGCATTCTGGTTAGCTGATTGCTTAGGATTCTTCAAAATTACACAAAATCATTAGGAGACTAACAAAAGAAAAAATGAAGGAGGCTGCCACCATGCAAGCAAGGTGAGTTACGCCTCAACTGGTTAAGATGTACTCATGTAAAACATAATTGACCAATGGTTTACAAAATTAATGGCACAGTGCCATTTAAGGGAGAATGAAGTATGCCAAATGCATTACAATAATATAACCATAAAACATCAAATAAGTGAGTTAAAGAGTAAACATGAAAGAAATCTCTAACCAAACAGATGAACAATTGACCAATAATAATTAGCCTGGAAAATTAACCTTTTTATTCCTTGCAATTCTAAGCCTCTTGATGGTACCAAATTGCTTAAAGAAACCTGAAGACCACATTTATTATACATAAGAGGAAAATATCAAGTATCTAAATAGGCTCAATCTCAGACAAATTCAAAGAGAGAAATGCAAACCTTCCATTTCATTCTCATAAAATCCATGTGGGATTCTCCCGATATATAACACTGTTGCTTTATTTTCCCTTACTTCAGTCTTTGGGAGCTTCTGCGCTGGCCCACCTTCTAATGGCTATTTATTTGAAGGACAAAAACAAGTCATACACAGCACACCAATTGCCATGGAGAAATTTACAGTAACAATTCTAACGAAGACCATTGCCCCTCAAAGTATCATTGCCCACCCACATCATCACAGACCAGACAATCAAAGTTTATACACATATACCAAGCAAGTTGCACAATTAAGGAGTACATACAGCACAAAAATCATAAAAACTAAAGCATATACTAACACGAAATCCCATAAAGGAGACAATTGCTTCTTATCGAGGGAAAGAGACAGTAGTCTAGAGAGTGAGCTCACCACTAACTATATATACATAATTTGAGGTATTTTCTTTCAGTTTTCATTATATTTATATACATCTATATAGTTCGAAGAAAGTGGATGAACTGCTCATATGATGGAGCCGCACGAACAAATAACGTACCAGAAACTCACGGGCTTCATCTTTAGAAGCTGAAGAAGCAGAAAAATCGCTTGCTCCCTTTTTCAATTTCTTCGTTATTGCTTTCTTCCTTGCTTTAACACCCATCTCTGTTTACATAATCATACTAAACGTCAAGCACTTTGCACAAATAAAAACAAAAACACAGAAAAGAAAATTGAAACCTGAAGAAAATTACTTGAGCTATAAGCCTTAGTAGACCTCACCGGAGAACGGTGACAGATAAGCAGATGAATTCGCCGGAGCTGCCAAGCACGAGAGAGGAAAAAGTTGGTTTGCAGATGCGCGGTAACTTAAACCCTAAACCCTGTGTTCGGATCCTCTCGTTTTCTATTTTCGGGTCGAACCATCCGCCGACGATTTTGCAGGGTCAGAACTCAAAGAGCTACTAGAGCTGTTAAAATGAGATTAGCCCATTAGCCCATGGGTCGGCCCAACTAACCATTATTGAGATAGGATTTTTTAAGCCCATATAAAACTAGGGCTTACAAGTTTGATCCATATAAGTCATTGGTCATTGAAGCTTGATCAGGGCCGGGCTAGGACTGGTCCATGGGCCAAAAATATTTATTTAAGGCTGCCTTATAGAATTTTACTAGTGTATGAGCTAATTATTTAGATGCACGCTATGTTGTAATATTATGAATTTTACTAGATTTTGGTGCATTTAGATACATAAACTCAAAATTATGTGTAATTTATTCTAGATACACTCTATCCAAGTGGATTCGCATATATATATATATAAGCAAATCCTGCCCTCGCCTCCCTCTCATCTCGCTCGCCACTTTATATCCCACTCGCGTATCTGGAATGCATTACACTAGATACATGTATCTCGTGTATATAGTATCCTACATGATAAGCACACTTGATTTTTTGCTACTGTTATTGAAACAACATCATTGTTTGTCATATTTGATTTGAAAATCTTCTTATTTTCCTGATGTTATAAAATTTTAAGTTTGAAAAGAAAAAATGAATAAAAGAAAAAAAAGGGCTAACCCACGGTCCTTCTAGGGGTGGATTAGGTTGAGCATTTTCAGACCCTTCCAAATGGAGGGTCAGCCCGTCCTAGCCCATCAAATTCTTTGGCCTGTGAGGTTTGGGTCGGCTGGGGCTGGGCTGACCCTTTTTGACAACTCTAGTTGTGACTAGGGTGTTGAAAATGAGCACAATATAGGTAATCCGCCTAATATTTTGTGGGTTGGGCTCAAGATAGTTTGAATTGAGTTCAAATTCAACTCATTCAAGCTTTAACCTGTTTTAAAAGAATCTTCAATTGAACTCAACTTATTTTCTATTTTATAGCTTTTGAAATTTATCTATCCATTTGTATTTTTTTTTCTTGAATTGAAATTCAAATTGTAGTTATAAAAGTTAAATTACAATTTGTTAAAATTAATGAGATTAAGCGGATCAAATTGGGTGGGTCGTGGTCCAACCATATTTTTAGCCCATTTGAGTCCAAAGTAAACTTGGGCGGGTCATGACCTAACTCAATTTATATTTCAACCCATTTGAATATCTCTAATTTCAACTCAACCCTCCCAATTGACACCCTTTATTGTGACTTGTACCTTTTACCAGTTGTTTGGCACGCGGAATTAAGGTAAAATATTCGCCGTTAAGTTTGGAACTAAAATAATTGAAACAAAGGAATTACATGTAATATTAAAGTACAGGAATACGATGATATGAGAGTAGAAATAACAATATTTATTAATGAAACTAGATCACACGTGATTCTTTATAAATCTTATACTTTATCATATCTTCGGTAACTTGTAAGTGTTTTATGTTTTGTCTAGTCAACTCCTTGATACTTTTTTGCCATACGTCTACCTTTTCTTATATCTACCTCTTTTAATCTCTTTCACCTCCTCACTAGGGCATTTGTGCAAATACTATTCATATGCCTGAACCATCTCAATCTCACCTCTGTCATCTTATTTAGCACGAAAGTCGCTCTCACTTTGTCTTAATGAATATCTTCATTCATAATCATATTTCTCTAATGTATTGTTGCAATTTGAAGAAATAATTTGACAAACTTTTACGACATTTGAAATAAAAAGTTAAAACCTATCAATTAATCAAATTCACAATCTATCAAAATGTATCCCATATTTTTTCCTTAGTACACAGTTTTTTTAAATTATGAGAAATATTATTAGTATGTATAGCTGGAATAATATGTATACATACTCGTCTACTGTATAATTGTAATAATATGTGTATATATTAATTTATATCAATATGTATATAATTCATTCATTTGAGATATATTATGCTAGTATACATACAAATATACAATGTGAATTATTATGTATATAACATATCTTAGCTGAAATTGGTATGCATTACCATAGTCACATGGAATATATTTTGACAGAACAACTTTAATTGGAGATCAGAGACAACAATGAAATGAAAGAGGAAAAAATGGAAGATTTAAGGAGATGACGTGAATTTCGTTTAGGTTTGATTTTTTAAATAAAATATTTGATTAAAAATGTCGATTTTATCTAGGGATTGTATGTATATGTTAATACCTCAAAAATATATTTTTCGAATATGTTTCGATAACAAAATCGCATAAATCAATATGAATTGTATAGCAGCCCATTTTTATTTTATTGAAATAGACTGAGCTAATAAATAGACAAGTTGATGATTAACTAAAACTTCAGTGAATTGAATGGAGTATATTTTTCAAGGGTTCATTTTAGAAGAAACTATCTAATTACACAAATATTTCTGTCATATTTATTAATTCTCCATATAATTTGAGACAATTACATTTTATATCACTAATTAATAATTTCTTACCAGATTTCAAGTCAAGTCATATACATATTTTTGCTACCAGTACAATGAAATAAGGAGAGAGGCAAGCGAGAACCTAAGGGAGGCGAGTGAGATTTGTCTCTATATTTCAGATATACATAAATCACACTAGATTCACACTATATACATGTATCTAGTGTGATTCACATGTATTTGGAATACCAGATATATATGACAGGGGTGTGGGAGATGAAAAAGAGGCGAGGGATATTTGTCTTTGTATCACAGATACATGTGAATCCATTTGAATACATTGCATCTAGAATAAATTACACCTAATTTTGATTTCGTGTATCCCGAGATACATGTATCTGGATGAATCAAAATCTAATAAGATTCATAATATTGCAAACTAGTGTATATATAAGTAATTAGTTTCTAGCGTGATTTCCATAAATTACCCTTAATTTTATCACCCTACCACCCAACTTATTATGAATTGTATAAACGTGTAGCTTTCGAAATTTGTATAACTTTTGTATAATGTAATTTGTATAACTATTTAAAGTTCAGATGTTTGTGTTTGTATAAATTCGTTATTTCCAGTTTTATCATATTTGTATAATTCCATAATTTGTATTACTCCGAAAAAACAGATCCAATTTTAGATCTATAGTTGCACCCATATTTGTATAAATTCGTAACTGTATATAGTTATTAATTGTATATTTCTATATTTTACTTATACAAAATATATAAGTACAAAAGTCTACAACACAACTATACCTATATAAAGACGGATGAAAATAACTCAATTATATAAACGTAGCCGCGAATTATACAAACGAGTAAGCTATACAATCCGTAAATATGCAAATTATAGCCAAGGAGCCTAATTAAGTTTATTATAGTGACTATTTACAAAATTTTCCTTTTTTTGTTATGAATGAAATTACATTTCGGTATAGCTTTAATTTTTCTCTAAATAAGAACGAGCAAACTCAAACAATGTTTAAGGAATTCTTAATAGAAAAACAGTGTACATCAAAGTAAGTTCAGAGATATTTCTAATATGAATATCTTTTTCTCCAAATAATGTAAAATAATGATTCACGAGTATTTCTCAAATGCATATAGGGAAATAGTCAATTAAAGGAAAATGGAAAATTTAAAGTTAGGAGGCACAGCATTTTCGTTCCTAAACTACTTACAACAAATTAAATGTTAAAACAAACAAAATATAGTGTGTGACACCACACCGAGAATTGAGCGTTTTAAAGTATAATTATCTATTATTTGAAATTTATCGAATCGACTAATAAAGCCGTGCCACATAAGACCAGCTAAAGAACAAATCATTCCACAATTCTTGCGAATCGAAATCTCAAATTAAAAGTTCAAAACTCCTGTTCGTTCCACTACTTGTATGTGTTACATTGGTGGTAGAATAGAAAGTCCAAAGTTCCAATTTTATTTTATTTTTTGAAATTTATGTTTGTTATGTAGGAGTATGATCTTTATGCCGCCTCCCATATTTTTGTCCTTCCAAGTTCCATGGACTTATAGGACCATAGCGACTGTAAATATTTAGATAATTGTTCACATTTTATGTGGACTTTTTTTTTTCTTTTTAAAAGAAAATAGTAAATAATATGTACTTATTATACACGATGCTTGTTCATTTGAGGATGACAGATTGAGCATGTGATCTTCAAAATAAGGAGTCTTAAATTTTTCAGTATTCTTTCTTGATCAAGCTCGTCGCACAAAGCTTGCCTAATATAATTTACGCATTCGATTTTTACAGTCTAATATACTAAAATGAAATTTATCATATACGTACTCAAAGAATAGCAATGAATAATATTAGACAAGCTTAATGAGATGAATTTGATCGAAAAGACATCAATGAAAAAATAAATAAATTCGTACTATTGAAATTGTTCATTAGAAAAAATAGCTTGCTCAATATGTAACTTAAAATAAATAAACAATACAACATGGTTATAACTTATAATAGTAGACCTTGGTAACTGCCCACTATTTTTTTCGAAATAAAAAAGTTCGGTTTATTTGCTTTGAAAAGTAAAATCATCCTATATAAAAATTGCTAACACATTTATTGGAGAACACTTAATTTTCGATATGAGGGTTTGCTTCTCAATCTACATCACCAACACCAACTACTCTAAAGAGAAAATACTTTTAAAATGTACACTAAAGAAAGGTATATAATTATGTATAAAAATATTATAAAATATGCTGATACTATTTTCATACATAATTAAATACAAAACATACTATCAAAATCTCATTCTTATCTTTTTTGGATAGTACCTCTTTCGGAGATATATGTTTAATTTATTTGGGATTTAAACATTTTATTTATTTATATATATAAATAAAAAATTGCAATGCTTGGATTTTAAATTGAAGATGACCTTTTATTTATGCGACGTCTTATTTGAAATTAGGCGATTACTTGTTAATTAACCCCA